ATTTATATTACTACTGATATGTTATATGTTTTTTTCTAAAAATGTCATTGTTTTACCTACTTTTTGTAAAAAATTTATTTAAAAAAAAATTCCGAGCATTATATCTTCAACATACGATTAGTACATTTTATTACTCCTTTCTTATCCAAAGTCACGTGGATTATTTTCTGGGTCATGAACATGTGACTTATAAAAAAATGTCTATTTCAAGTTAATTCGAATTCGTATCTTTGATAATAAAAAAAGTATTTTATTGCCAATTATTCATTTTCTGTTTTATTTAATAGTAGAATCTAATGGTTTAAGAATTGTACTGGAATGTATATTAGTGTTATCTTAACATAACTATTACATTAATAAATCTATAGTTGAAAAATGAGTAATGTTGAAAAAAAATATGGATACATATGGATCAAATATGTTGTAGTTGATAAGTGATTAAAAGTTGTGTCAGATATCTGCTTTCTTGAATTCATGAAATAATACCAACATCTTTCAGTATTACTCAAAAAATCCACTTCATTTGCTAGGAATTCTGGATTGAATGGTTCAAGATCACGGTTAATTCAATATTGAAAAGGCGATAAACTGAATCATCAGTTGTATAAGACACAAAAATGTTAAGAAATGTGATATGTGTGTAGTGTGGAGAAATGAGATCATCAATTGTTCTGGCGAGCTGACTTATTTGATAATCGATAATGATGTGTGTGGGTTAATGTGGTTATTAATCGTTCACTGAATTATCGAATCAGTATATGTGTAATCCATAAATTTAATTCAATAAGTAGATAAATAAACATACAGACAGAGCATAAAAATGTACGTAGATAGAAGTTAATAATTAATCACGCGAGCGTGTAAAAAATAATGAATTTGATGAAAATGGCACGTTTAAGTTACATGATTATTCTGACGTATATCATTTCATGCAATACTGTATGGTATTGTTGTTAATTTGTTTAGGAATATACTTATTACCTTCCAGGTGAATAGTATGATCAGTTTGAGAATTTGTCGAGATTGTTGATTGTCATTCAGAACATGTACCGGCCTGAGTTAAAGAACCATTCAAAATTAAGATGAAGTGAACGGGTGTTTCACTATAATATGGGACTGTTCAGAAGTGCGCATCTTTAACCCTGACGGAGGTCGAACCCAGAACATTCAGTCCTCACAGAGAAAGCTAAACTATAAAACTATTGAGTCCCTATCCAATGGCTTACAAGTTCAATTTTAATCGTATTTGACTACCGTAGTGTGAATCCATATCTCAGGTTTATTATCAAAATAGTCGGAAAACCTCAGCCCGAAACATACCACCATATAATTAATATCATCCATTAGGATAACAATTCAATGATTTATTCACCATCTATATAGTTTCCTTTTAATAACTATCTCATCTTTCCTTATTTGCTAACAGGAACATTTTCAAAGAATATGAAGCATGTTTTTTTCTGTTTTGTTCTTCCAACGGAACTGTCTTGATATGTATGTCTTTACCTTAGAGTACAGGATTCATATTTAGTGTAAGAAGAACTTCTGACGAAGTTTCAATAAGATGCTACAGCTTGGGAGATAATTACCTATTCCATAGTGGTTTCTAGAAAATCAAAAATCCGCCTTTGTTAAAAATTTTATGAAATCCAGAATTGAATTTTCCGAAGGTTGTCTGACAACTTTTTAAATATTCTCCTGAATTTGTGATGATCTCATTTTATTTTCTGAAGTAATACTTAATATCATATAATTTCTCTTTGAATTACTGTTTGTAACTGTGGTCATCAGTTGTTCTTATCAATAACTCGAAGTCCTTTTAATTCCAATTAAGTTATTATCTAAAAAAGATATGTAAAACATTTTGCTTCCCTGATGTGATATATGAGTCGTTTGGGTAATTACGTTTTTCCTACAATAGTGGTGAGCCTATTAAGTGAAAGTCAAGATAATCTTTCAATTTTGGAACATCTCATAGGTTCTGGTCACTTTGCCGACTAGAATTATTCTTTAGAGTCATCAAAATATTGAAACCGGCGAACTCAAAGCTAGCAACAATCAAAACCTGTAGAATATTTTAAACCAATCCTATGTGTTTTGTTTCTCCCAAATTTCTATTATGTGGAAAATTGTTTCTCATATTTTATCTTCATCCTACTGAGTTTTTTTAAAACCTTTAGACCTATAAACAACCTCATTGTGATACTGAGGGTTTCCAAAGGATTAACTGCCTAACCTCCTTAGGTTTTTGTAACAGAGTTTGTTTGGTAAATCACCATAAGTGAGACTGTAAAACTTTGTAACGGAATATCGCTGTAATAGAAATTGTCTGTGCTAAATTTTCATTTCTTACTAAAATTACATTGATGGAATAATAATAGATCTTATTCATCAGTCGTTGTATTAGTGCTACTAATAATATCACTGACAAAGCAGGTTGTAATTTTATCAAGTGCTGCTTATCCAACCAGAGCAGTGTTTTAGAGTTTATCTAAGCCTACTGAAGTAATAGCTTGATTGAGAATAAATTTTGTTATAAAATTTATACTACTAATGGTTTGTAAGTACTTGAATAAAATCTTGATTAGTTTCAAAACAGTAGGACAAATGCAAGCAAATGTTTTGATAAATATTGATCATATGATCGCCAAGAAGTAAGGTATCACCACTCAAAGTTAAACGTACACTATTTTATTAAACCTAACAGTCTATACTGGATTCACCATAATTGCATGATAAATAAAAGACTATTTATGTTCACTGATATGATCAAAAATACTATAAGTTGTTTACTATGAGTGCAAGATATTTTTAATGAATAACTCAGTTCAAAGACGATCCTATTGTAACTGTTGGGTTAGAATACTTTTTCTAAGAACGGACAGCATAATTGGTTCGTCAAGAATAGAGTAAATATTTGTTGTTAGAATTTTCTCATCAATACTCTCTATTCACTTGAGGAAGTATAATTCATAGCAGTTTGAACTAATATTAGTCTGTGAATAACTGTCATGCTTTGATATCCATTGAGGATTTATAAAACCGCCTGGTGCTCCCTGATATTCATTGATTCCTTGGTTGCTAATACTTGATGGTGAATATGCCTACATTTTAAACACATCAACATTAAGATGACTGTATTCATTGAGCATGTGACTTGCTTCATCCTCTGTATTTATCACCTTTAAAGGGTTTTTATCATAGTGCTCAATGAATGATTTCGTAAGTTTGGTAGAAATAATGAACATTAAGTTTATTTTTTTTGCTTTACCGAAATTTGATGATTACTTCTAATAGTACTGTAGTTAGTTTGATGATTAATAAGGCTGATAAAACATTCCAACTCTTCCCTGAACTTTCAGATCGTTAAATGAATGGTAGATTTGTGTTTCCAGTGGGTTCTTTAGAAGATAAAACATTTTTGGGATGTTAACTTGAACAAGATTTTCAGAAATGGATTTGATATTGGGTGATGAATGTAGGAGGGTAACATTTCAATTTCCATACTGAAAGGTCAAATGAAGAATAACAGAAACTCAGAAGTGTAGAGATGGTAATTGAATTTTGTGAAAAATTAGATTGGGATGTTTATCAAAATATTAAAATTATGACCCGTCTAATATTTACTTTAACAGATTTTTGCTGCAATAAGGATAGTAAAGTGAATTTTTGTTTTCCTTTTAAAAATTAGGGATTCATCCTTAAAAGCCGTGTAAGGTGGCTGGAAGAAGTCAACAGGATACTTTGGACCTAAATTTCGTGAGATTGGGTACTTGTCACTAGGACATATGTGTAGTCTCAAGGCAACTGATTTGCCCTGGAGGATCCGATCTCGCGTCACCCAGCACCCCAGTTTCCTATCAACTGCTTCGATTACCTGAAATCTCAAAATAATGCAAGTGATGAGTTACTCAGATTAATAGTTACAAACTAAAAGACTGAATGAATATGACATCGTTCATTTCTCACTGTTATTTTCAAGGGATGGATTACGGGTTAAAACACCAAAAGTTAATATATTTCATATTTGTTGAGTAATTCTGTGCACTATAATTTAATGGACATCTCTTATGTTTTAAACTATGAAAAATAAATCTGAACGCTATTTGTAGGCCAATACGCCTAAATGACGGATTCCAACTAATTAAATACGCAAGTATTGGATTGTACTAAATAAAGTGTAAAAGCGTTAGTCGTTTTTTCAAAAACTTATGTAACTGATTAACTTGAATCTAACAATGGATATCTTTTATCATAAAATAAAGCAGCAACACATTGAGTAGTGGTATTAAAATATGAACATTAATGTAGCTGATGAAGTTGGCTAGGTCACATATTTGTAAAAACACTCTTTAATAGAGCTAAAGTAATATAAAACAATGAAAATGCCTTAAACAGATTTATAAACACAGTTTCTTTTAATAGTTGAGATCATGAATCCATTAAAACTAGACCACCATGAAAAACCTCGTAGCACTGGACGGCCGTTTCGTCCTAATGTGGGACTACTCAGCAGTGCGCATCCACGATCCAGCTTCGCGAAATTCGAACCCAGGACCTATCAGTCTCGCGCGCGAGCGATTAATCACTAGAACACTGAGCCAGCATCCAACTGTGTTAACGTCTAACTTCAACCGATCCATGAAGCTGAGCAACCGTTCACCATTGTCTTCAGTGAGTTATTATCTCACAACAGACCTGGTTGAACTCCACTGGTCATTGCTTCTTACTAGAACTCCAGGAAATACCTCTTGAAGCCAGTCACTATAATATCCCCTTCTGATATTATTCAACAGTTTCTTTTATTACTTCTTTTTGCTGCTGTAAAATATGTTTTATGCATTAACTTAAATTACCCTAGTGTTATATATTCATTCTTATTTTGATTAATTACAATAAAAAATAAATTACTTTCACATTTCTTAAATGTTTCCTTTTTCTTGTTGTTGCTGAGTAGGTTCAGAAAAACCGATGAAACTTTTAAAAAAAAATCAACATAATCAATAAAATATTATTTATGTGTATATGTATTGATTAGATGATCAGTTGAAATTATAGATTCTATTCCATAAAGAGATTCAAGGTAGGGAAATAATTACTTTTTTTTATATATTTTTCATGTGATATCATTTTTATAACAGAATAAGTATATATAATATAATTAATTATTTATACTTTTCCCCATGATAAAAAGTACAAGAACGTGAATAGGAACATAACAAGCAAACAAACAATAAGAGTTAATTAACCGTGATCAGTGTAGCATCATTTGATATAAGATAAACGATCCCTTCTCTATCAGAAAAACCAAAGAAATACAAACAGTCATTTTAACGAAATGGAAAAACAAAACAAAACTCAGATGAAAATTACTCAACCATTTCAATCATCATTTTTTTCTGCATAAACTATTGATTAATCAATTGTTTGTAAATAGATAAATATATAAACAAAAGAATAGAAAAGATTAAATTATAAAGTGATTGAAGACTTCAATTATCAGACAAAGTTACGTCGTAATTAGAGGGTTAGATAAGAACCCTCCCCCCCTGTGATTACGACACAGCTTCGTTTGATAATTGGAGTCTTAAATAAATAAGAATTAAACATTAGTACAATAGCTAAATGTGGTAGATTCAAAAATAGATAACTGAAGAGAAATTATGTTATATTTATGAATAGAGTAAAGAAGAAACAAATTCTAATTGGATACAAACAGAATATCTATCTGTATACATGATGAATGAGAATGTGGAGAATATATATATATATATATATATATATATATATATATATAACATAAAAAATATCAAAATTTCAGATACTCTATGGATTGTCACATAGTTAGACGATTCAAGAATACTTTGCAAGAAAAGATGTATGAAATTCTTTTAAATAGTCCATGACCAGTTTCATTTCTTTAATGCTAGGGAGAATCGTTATTCTGAAAAACAAAAAAGGTATTTCAACTATGGTAATCATAACCTGTTTCTGAGCAACATGGATTATAATTTTTAAAAAATGTGAAAATCAAGGTAAGTAAACATTACTGGTTCCTACAAAATCAGCGAAAATGAGAGGTTGATAAGACAGTTGTATTATGGTTTGAGATAACTTAATATAGAATATATAAGCGGAGCCCACATATACTTCGGATACAGAAACGTGGATCCTGCGAGTTCCGAATTTTTAAGACTTTATTAAGTAAAATATAAAGATTAATGAGTTTGAACTTGGGACATTTTCGAAAGTTTTCGTAAATTTTCAACAACTCCATTATTAACTGATTACGAAAGAGATCATTCTCCACATCATTTATTAGAAAAAGAACAAATTTTAAATTGGAATCACAATGATAAATAGATGACAAGGTGATTAGGTTATAAGTATTATACATTCAACCGTGACACCAAACAATTGATATATATGGTTTGAAAGTGTTAGATTATAGTTTTTTACTTGTCACGTGCGGAGAAGATAAACCTGTCGTTGAATTGGGATTTCAATTTGAAATGGAACTGTTCCTATTGTATAACCTGACTCGTAAACATCAAGAAGAGAAGGAATACAAACACCTAGCCCATCTAGAAAAGAACAGTTTAGAGAACTACAGCTGTGGTGATTTTCAAAATCAGTTAAACTAAACTTACCATACAGAAGGACTAGAGGTAACAGTTACAGTCTTTAAGTAGCCTAACAATAACTATAGATCTGTTATGCCATCTTTTTTTATTTTTCGGAACACGAAATTTACGGAGGCACTAAAACAATGAACAAGACAAGAACTACTTATCATTTGACCATCAACTTTTCCATCAAAAGTTGAACACCTGGTCACAATACTTGATTATAGCTACTTCTGTATAAGGATTTAGATAAAAGTTGGATTGACTGGAATACCTCGGTATCTAGAACTTAAGTAACTCTTGCAGTCGCCTCTCCCATTCAGACTGAAATTATATGACTTGGTAAGACTGTCCTTACATTATGTTTATAGCGTCAACCACGTTCATACTGTTGCAGTGTGGAAGTGTCGAGCACGTTAATACACTTTTGGTTTATTCTGACTGTCCAACTGCATATAGTCAAGTTCTAGGAAGTTTCAGGGTTAAGGATATGAATATTTGCAAATTAGTTTACCTAAAATGCCAAGTTCCAGGTACTTGACCGAATCCAGATCCTGGTACTACACAGACGCCATATTCTTCCAATAATTCTAAGCAGTACATAAAGTCTGGTTGCATACCTTTAGACTGAAAAAGATTAAGACAACATCGATAAACAACCAGAATTAAATTTCACAAGTTATGTAAAAGTACACTGACTGGCTAGGAAAACGAGAAAAGGTCAAGCCATTTGTTATCTAATAAACTGTTCATCAATTCATAAAATTGATGACTTAGAGGTGTAAATAAGATTACTGTAAATCTACTAGTCGAGGTCATTAAAGTAGAAAGATAAATTAAATATCTGACGACTTTATGAAACATCTTAAAATTAAATTCGCATTTACATAACATGACGCCATAAACTATAGGAGTAATGTGTTAAATCAGCATCTATTGACACATCACGACTTCCAGGATAGTGGTGGAATCTCAACTCAAAAACTGCTCTAAAAACAAATTGACTAAAATCTATGATTTTCTTTAATGTTTCCTGTGAACAGCAACATATTCATTTTGAGAATAGTGAAACTTATCTTGGCTATCTTTGTAGTCGAACCACATTTCTTGTTTCACTATGATGCTCTCAGTTTTTAGTTTCTTTACAAAATTGTTAACTAAACTACATAAGTTCGAAGGGTATTATTCCAATGTAACTAAAGTTTTAAAGTACTCAGTAAAAAAAGGGTTGCACCACTTAGCAAAATAATTAAAAAGATCTTAAATTAGGAAATAGTTTTGGAAGCAATCAAAGGTAATAATCTATGGAATAAAAGATGAAGATAACTGTCTACTTAGTCAAAGAGAAGAAGGTAACAAATAGCACTTGTAATTTGTAAAACTACCTGTAAATACGATTGTACAACTTCAGAAAATGATATCGTTGAAAAATTTCCTTTGTTGAAATGTCTTTATTCTCTACAACCTTTTTATTTAGTTTTTTATTTTATTTATTTGTTTAAACACATAAATATTGGTACAAGGAAGCACCAGATACATATGCGCCTCATAAATCATATTCGATTTGCTTGAGGGCTGTGATACTGCCCAGGTTCCCAGACTGAAGCAGGTGGTTTTCTTAGGGGACCACACCCGGAGCTTTTGACCTAAAGATCTGATCCACAAGGCAGTGGAGCAGCGTAAGGAGATGCAGTCTCATGGTAACCGGTGACCAACGATTGATTCATACGCAATTTGTTTGTTCAGGATACTGGAGAGCATGTGCACCATTGGTTTGGAATCAGGGTTCTCCAACTCCCAAAGTGAAATTTCTGTGTCCGCCAAGCCGGTTAAGGCGGCGGACATTCGCTTTTCTAACTCTCAATTTCGTAAACAACAGTAATGCCACGAGAAGACGGGAAGTAGGAGTTCCCTGGTAGAGGCTATATACGCGTGGCCATGTGAGAGCATTTCGAGAGAGAGAACGGACGAAAATATTAGACCAATCAAGGCAATTTGAGCCAATAATCACAATGAAATAGAATACGTCACCGAGCATAATAGTTAAAAGTACAAGTTGATAATGGGAAAACAGATGTACTGGTAGTAGTAAGAATATTAAATTACGATAAAAAAGTCTTATCAATCGCTGAAAAATACCCATGTCGCAGTTTTAACTGATGTACTCAGCCTTAAACTTGGCCAATTTTTTTTGTGGATTATTAATGTGGATTTATAATTGTAGAACCTGATGAGAAATTATTGCAAAGAATATTCTTCGTTCATATAATTGTGTCTTATCAATCGTTAAACATTGGAAATAGGAAGTTAAACGTGAGTAAATATACTTAGAATAGTCATCACAAAACATTAAAATCATTACGTAATAAGAAGTATGTGAATAATTAGATAGTAAAGAATACAAACGGAAAGAGGCGGTAAATTACAAACAAATGATAACAAAATTAAAAATAAAATTTAAACAATAATAATAATAATAATGTCATTTGTTATGTCCGGCCGTAGAAAGAATAATGGAGTTACAAATCTCTTCTGTACATATAAATTAAGGTGAAATGTACGAATTTCTATGGCTTCAGCTATATGAAGGAGACGGGAAGGAAATCCGTTGGGAAATGATGGAGATATACGATAGAACACTCGAAATGATTTCGATTTATTTAGATTATGACAACTCTCAATTAGATGTGCCAATATAGAATTGCGTATTGTTTTCATCTGGCCTTTCCCAAACCATGCTGTTAAATGTCCACTCATTCGTTGGTTAAGTTGCCTGGTAGTACGCCCGATATAACTATCCCCACAGGAGCAGCTGAACTTGTATATGCACATAGACGAGACCAACTCAAGTAACTTTTCCTTCATTTGAGTAGACATCGCTGGTTGACTAGAGAAAGTCAACGCAAGATTGGCTGCGTAGAATGTCCTGCTAATTACTTTCGCTAACCTATCTTTCATAGTATCATTAGCCACATCCCCGTTGAATTGTAGTTTCATGTATAAAGGTTTCTTTTGAACAGTTGAAATCTCAGACTTCTTTCGTGTATCATACATGTACTTATTAATAAACGCACTAGGGTAGCCGATCTCTGTCAGTGAGTTATTGATAAATTCCAGCTCCTGACTTAAAGTATCTACTGAACAGATCCTTTTTGCTCTACTAGTGAGGCATCTAACTAAATTTCTCTTATATCGGATAGGTGTACAGCTATAGAAGTGAGTATATTGGCAGATAGAGGGACTTTTTCTATACATACTTCTACTTAACGAGCAATCACTTCGCCTGCTTAGTGTGACGTTAAGGGAATTCAGCTTTTTGTCACACTCGCCTTCACCAGTGAAACTAACCGCTGGATGTACACTGTTGAACTATTCTAGGAGTTTATCCTTACTGGTGTTCATCAAGCGAAGATCATGTTTTTTGGCAATCCAGATATTAGAACTGATAAATGAAGTACGGATTTATTTATTCAGCTATGAAGTATACTTATTATACTTATGCTAATAATACTACTCAGTCGCGAAAACAGAATCAAGTGCAGTTCAAGGTTGTAAGCTGGTCGTTGAGATTCAAGTGCTTTAACCAAACAGAAACCGTTGCGTAATAAATATATTTCTTGTTATATCCCAATGAGTACAAAAATTGTATTTCTGACGTTTCGTGACTTATTGTAAGCCATCTCTTCAGCGTAAATAAACAACTGATTGGAATATAACGAAAAATGTGTTTATTTTTAACTCTCTACCCAATGTTCAATTTACTTGAAACCATCAAGTCCAACCTTGGCACTGATACCTAGAAACTATCGCAGATCAATGAGATAAAAAATAATGTATACATATCAACGAAATAACTCACTTTTGCTATTTCGATTGCTTTTTTAGGTAGATCAATTCGTGGAAATGCATACATTGCTCCAGTGATTGGATTACATGAAAAACCTTGAAGTGAATTTAATGATTTTGTAGTGAGTTCAGCTTTTTGTTTAAGTTCTTCTAGCACTGATGATTTTTCTTCCATAAATGAATTGTAAGATGGTTCATGAGGTTTTGGAGGATTTACAACCACATCCATTGTTAGCTAACAATTATGAAAATAAAAGCAGATATGATGAAATCATTTTACTTAATAATTATTAATGGGGTTTATTGAAGTGGAAAGTAGATGAATCATTAATTGAACCGAACTTTTTGAAGCAAAATATAAATATAAGAAGTGATAGTTGGTGGCTACCAATGGAATACACGTTGCGTGTTTAGTTCTGTTTGTGACTCTTCATCTTGATGTAATTGTATCCCAGAGTTGATATCTACTTGGGGATTCGAAACTAGTGCCTTTCTCTTCGAATGTCACTGCGTTGTCTATTTATCTACTGAGTTCAGATAGCCATGCGCTTATGCAACGGGGTTCAGTTTTGAATTCATTTATACTGGATTTTTGAATCTCCCTATTGATGTTGAGGACTGAAATTGATCAGTTTCTTTTGGTATATCTAAACTAAGTAGATAAGTGGATAACTGGATGGCATTTGGGACGAACGCTACTGAGTTCGAGTTCCAGAATGAACACAAACCCTGGGATAAAGATATATTCGAATCACGAGTCCCATGTAAGACGAAACACGCTTCCTGGATTCCACTGCTAGCCACCATCAATCGATGCTTGTGATTCACAGCAATGTCGGGTGGATTTGTACAGGATGAACATATGACAAAAGAGACTAATTACCATTCTAAACATCAATGAGATTATCACAAGGGGGGTTTTTGTGGAGATTTAGTAATTTTATTTTATTTTATTATTTAAATAAAGAATACAAATGAGTTAGAAATATGAATATATATTTTTAAACAAAATATTGTAATTTCAATCACTTGAAATTATCCTGGAGTTATCACTAGCAAAATTAAATTTGCAGAAAAAAGCATCTTATTTCTCTTGGTTTATCAAACCGAAATGACAGTAAAAAAGTATCAATTTGTAATAAGGAAAATGGTCTACTCGCTCATCTACTTACCTACATTTACGCATATGTGACATTTTATGAACTCAATACTCCATATCAGTTGTCATTTTGCCATCTAAATATGTATGTAAAATGTTCTTCTTTTGGCATAAATAACAGACATTATTCTAACTCAAAATTCCATTAAAATCAATCTGTTCTAATATTAGTTTGCCTTCTATTTCTCAAAAATGACCTAGAAGATAGTAAGATATAATCATAATCAGTAAATCCTGTGTTTTGACTATACAAAGCATTCATTTTGGTTACTTATTTGATCTGGCTATTCATAGATCCTTATTGTTCTCTTTGGATCACTGAGGATTTAGTGAATTCAGTGAATTTCCTGGTAGAAATTGTCATAATTGAACTACCTCATCTGTGACATTAGGAACTTATTTAATTTTTATGAATTTCATCTGGGTAGTGTGTCTCTCTAAAGTCCACCACTTTTGGCTCTAAAACAAAAAATAACGTATAAACGAGTTTGTAGGTGTTATTACCAAGGTTCGACTTGATAATTTCTAGTAAATTAAGCATTGGGTAGATTGTTATTAATAAAAATAATACATTTGTAATATCCCAATGAGTAGAAAGATTAGTGTTTTTCTAAAATTTTCTGACGTTTCATGACTCAGTGTAAACTACTTATTTAGAGAATAAATAAACTAACCCAAGTTTAAATAGTACAAACGAACAAAGCAAGAATATTTGGTGCGGTCAATAAAAAACAGGTCTGACCAAGTCGATGTCATGTCATCCAGGTCAAGGTGATTTATATGAGACATGTTTGTTTACTTGAGTGCGCATGTATGTTAAAGGATGAAAAAATGTAGTGTGAAAGGATAGAGTTCAGTTTTTATGTGAATAGAATCAGACATGGTAGCTTGGATAGATGGTCCAAGTCGGGTGGACAGTGAGTCCTTCTATTCTATTAGAGGCAGTAGGATTTTTGCACTGAAACGGTATGCTGAATTGTAATCGATAAAACGATTCGAGTGTGTTGGTTTTAGGTAGATGATCAGATTCATAGTTCCACTTGGATTTTGTTTAACTAAACAATCTAAAAAAAGGCAGCTCATTATGTTCATTTTCATTCTTGTACGTAAATTTAATGTGAGATAAGAGTGTATTGATCAGATTAGAAAAAAAGATCATAGGTGAGTCTTTTTTTATAACAACAAAAGTATTAGGTACATATCGAAGTCACGAATCATTGGGATATTTACAAATACATTATTTTTATTAATAACGTATTGACATTCGAATTCTTTGATTGGTTATCATTGACGATTAGAATTACACTAATAATAAGAATCATTCAATGAAAGTCAAATTTAAAGTAATTAGTCCCTTTTAAAAATTTCAATAGAGCAACTCCATCTTCTTTCATTGCTCTATCGAAATTTCATAAAACAATATGATTATTACGAAAGTCAGACAATAAGTATGAAGAGAAGATATAAAGTTTAGTGTATTAACAATTCTCATTTAAACATTCAGTAAAATGATGAATAGAGCAAAGAAATTTCATTCTGTTTTCATTATAGCTTTACACTAATAGTTATAAAATAATACTAATCAAGTAGTGATGAATTATATCGATTGATTGTGTACCTTGATGCCCTTTTTAGCATAGGACGTGATAATTCCTGACAATTAGAGAGGAGTGAATTATCGATCAAAGCGATGATACACGAAAAACCGTATGAGCAGTCTTGATTACTTATCAGTCCTGCTTTCTGACCAGCCCAGCCAGTTAAGTTCAAAACACCAATAACAGCCTCTGCAATATAAATCCTTATTCTAAAAAATACTGGGTTTATATACCAAACAAACTGACCACACCGTCCATAAAATAGAAAATAACATTTGTACAAGATTTGGCCAAATGTGGCTGTGAATGTGGGGAACAGTAATCAATAGACTGGTCATAACTCAAGAATGGTAAATCGTATAATAATAGTCTATAGGTCAAAATAAAGCTTATAATAAGAGGGACACGAATATGAATAGTATAGTTAATTAACAATTATACAATAGGAAATATACATATCATATTAGTCCACAAATAGTTCTCAAAGTTACCATCCATAAATCTCCACGGGATATAACATGATGCAAAATAATAATATTATACAATTTCAAAATGGTTATACTAATCAAAGTAAATATTTGTAAAAATTAGAAAATTCAATTAAACAGCTCCTAGATTACATAATATTTAAAAAGTCAATGAACAAAATATAATAGACAGACTACATACATATGATAGATACAAAGAGACTGGGATACTTTCTAAACAAGGTCAAAACGAATCGATTTGTGTGATATGGTGTACATGGTTTAGATTGCATGATAAAGAATCAATAGACAAATAAAATAGTTTACTGTACATAAATATAATGAACAATTGATGCATACAGTTGGAAAGTTCGCTTTCAGACTGTTTTTCATAATATAACACAATAGTAAATCAGTGTACTTTTCATTTCATTCAGGAGGATATAAGCAATACTGATTACAATAGTTCTATGAAATCTGATTCAGATTCCATTAATATTAGAGTAGTTATATAGGCAGACAGAAAGTTATTCCAGAAACAGATATAGTAAATTACTTAGAATTGACCTGTAAAAACTATTTAACCAAAAAAATCAACTGTCATAAAATAGATGGTTTAGATAAGACTATCAGCTGAATACTTTCAACAGCATGATATTTTACATTAACTTAAGAACAATTACTACATAAGCATTTATTGTAAAAGCTTGATCGGCTCAATGTCCTATTTAGTGCCTTTCCCCATTCTGGATAACTATTGACAAAAAAGTGTAACCACTTATCTAAGCTATATACTGTCATTTCATCAAGTTTTAATCTCTATTAGCAATAGAAGTTAACATATAAAATCGTCTTTATGGATACAGACTATCCAACTTTGTGAAACCTTATAAGTACCAAAATAGATTTTTAATAGTCCACAAATTGTTCTTGGTTAGGTATTCAGGTTTACTATTAGAGGCACTATTTGATTAGTTCATCCGTAAAATATAACGCCACTAGCTTAAGGTTTGTTTCAAAATGAAGAGTCTAAAGTTAAGATTTAGGAGTAGTATTGATTTTCCCGTTATATACAAAACTGAGCACTTGATGTTTTCAACACTACTATTTTAAACTATCATGACAAAAAATAATTATTTTGTTATTATTTTAAACGTTTTGAACAGTATACAGGTTTGAATTCACTTAGTATTGTTTGTTTGGATCTTCCCATCGATGTGTTTAGGACTGCAACTGGTCAGTCTCTAATTGGCATATGTGCATACTGTGCGTATTGCCTCGATACACCTTAATTCACAAGCATGGTAAGCAGAGATGGATAGTGGGTAGCAGTGGAATCCAGGACGCGCGTTTCGTCCTATTTGGGACTCGTCAGCTGGATGTACCTGCATCTCAGAGTTGATGTTCACTCTGGGACTCGAACCCAGTACCCTCGCTTCAAACGCCATCGCGTTATCCACTCGGCCACTGAGTCCTGACAGCCACTTGCTTGTGCGATGGGGTGAAGTTTGAATTCACTTAGTATTGTTTGTTTGGATCTTCCCATCGATGTGTTTAGGACTGCAACTGGTCAGTCTCTAATTGGCATATGTGCATACTGTGCAAGTGGCTATCAGGACTCAGTGGCCCAGTGGATAACGCGATGGCGTTTGAAGCGAGGGTACTGGGTTCGAGTCCCAGAGTGAACATCAACTCTGAGATGCAGGTACATCCAGCTGACGAGTCCCAAATAGGACGAAACGCGCGTCCTGGATTCCACTGCTAGCCACTATCCATCTCTGCTTAGTATACAGGTTTGTTTCTACTGCTCGTTAGACATGATATTGAAATTAGGTGTCAAAATACGATTAAATTGTCCCTAAAATATAGCATAGTCAGCAGCTCATCCTTGAGTCTACAAACGATCTCCCTTCAACGTTGCAATTTACAATAATACTTATCATATATTCTTCATTGATCTATAAAGAGATTGATTATTACACAAGATTTCCCCGAATCACATAAAAATCAAATTTTAGGTATAGACAGAGCTTATCTTTCTTTATCTTCAATCGATCAAAATGCCATTAGTGATCAATTAGTATGTGATTTTCATAATAGGTATATCTAACAACATAAAGTGAATTTATGAAGAAAATAGGTCAAGGACATTTAAACACAAACCAGTCATACTCTAAAACGTTGAATAAAGATTTTCCCCCTTAATTTTCGTACTTTTAAATAAAATAACTTACTTGACCCAATAATGAAGAACATAGTCGAGCAGAAAGGGATTTATACAATTGTTGTTGAACATCTTCAGGAAAATTCACAAGTTCACAATATCCACCACGAAGACCACATCTGATTTGATAGAAATGAAGTTATTTTAAAGATACTCGATGAATTAATCACTTACGTATTGTTTAACATAAATGTTTATGAAAATATGTTTTAAACTTGTAGTTTGCGCTACTAGGTGGTCAATTTTGCAAAATTAAATACTGTACGGAAGAGGAAAATCCCTTACAAAATTATGCAAGTGCACTTACTCAACTGTTTATCAATAGGTTCAATAGTTGGTAAGTATCAATGTCTAAATAGAAATACATGGGAATTAGGTTTAAACCTGCCATCTACTGTGTGTTCAGTTTGTGATGGTTTGGATTACCTCCTTGTTGATATAATGACTGAAATTTGATCAGTCTTACTTGGCATATGTATGTCTTGTGCGAAACACGCATTTTGGATTCCATTACTTTTTTTGAATGACATGTTAGTCACCTTGAAAAATTATTTTTACTCACGCTTTTCGATGATTTGCAGCGTCCAAAAAATAAACCACTAAGGTTTAATCATTATAGTGTACAATGCAAGTGAATGATGTTTTTTTTCTAGTGGTTATTTTTACAACCATTTTCTGATGAAAATCTTTTACACTAGGTCTCTACGTTTTTTTAGAAGTTGTTATTGGTTGTAAACCTGTCTTATGAGCGTTACCTAATCACTGTATATCAACACACCATTTTATAGGTGAAGAACAAACAGATGAAGTTTAAAACGTACTACTTATGGTTGGAGAACTTGAATGACATAGTTCAAAATCGTTTGTAGTGGCGAAGGTGCATTCATTTTTTGTGTTCGCTCAAATTCTAATCTTCTGAATTCTTCATATCCCTACCTTTTTTCTCTTTCTAAATTTGTTTCACTGGGTTATACTCCTTGAATAACATCTTCAAACCCTAATCTTTCCGATTACTGCTTATACTCTTACTACTTCTACCACTATGGGATTTGAATTGACAACTGCATCTCTGTGCTAATGTGGTATGGCAACTCAAACTGATGTACTTACGTACGAAGTCCTACGTTGTGAATGACTGACTGACTTATGATAATTTAAATGTAAAACTGGGAAATATCGGAAATTAGTAGTAAGAAAGTATTGAAAAACAGACCATCAAAAACAACACAAATCCTAAGTCATTAAAGGAATTCATAAAAGGAGTAATCGAGTAGCAGCTAATCTGTATCAATACACTATATGAATAGTAAGCAAAAACACTAAATAAACCAAAAAAGTATATATAGTGGGGTTCAAAATAATGAAAATAAAGAACAGAATGTAAAGAGACAAAAAAATAAATACAAATTTTACAAAAATGAAAATCAATATTATTATGTAATAATCAATTCTCGTACAAAAAAGAATTTTATAGCCTGAAAGTTGATTTTATTTCAACGACATAATTGAATTTCATAATTTCTAAATTTATTCCAAACGTTTCATGTAAATATCAAAATTGTCCAATAATTTTAGATGGTCAATTTAATAAACGAGCATATAAAACTGTTTTATAATACCTATTTTAAATAGAATGTTAAGACTAGAGAACAAAATCAGTCTATTCAATCCATATCTATTGTTCAACTGGGACTAAACAGTATGTTACAGTCATTTATATTGAATGATTTGAAAATAAACAACATTTACGAAAAAAAAATCGGAGAGGGAATAGGTATTCGTATATGTAAACATAACTCCGCCTGTAGCTCCTCTGGGGGTTGCTGCCGGTCCCAAGCCCGGGTAAAGGAGGAGGGTTGGGCATGGGGTTAGCGACCCCATCCCGTAGAAAATCAACTCGCTAAAAAAACGCTAACCAGAAAAAATCATTCTAACCATTTAAACTCTGCCCTGGGAGTAGAAGGAATAATTATGACGTCACATGATGAAAGCCGAGTTCATTCGGAAGTCATGAGGCCGATGCACCTTCTTACAACCAGAGCGGCAATTTTTATAGGTACATGGAATGTCCGGACAACGTGGGAGACCGGAAGAGTCTTCCAAATTGCTGCAGAAATGAGAAAATACAACCTGGAGGCCTTTCATGATCTACTCAATGGAAAGGAAAATACCATGGAGAGCAACTGGAAAGGTATCAAGGAGGCAATCGTTTTAACATGTCAAGAGGTTCTGGGCCAAAAGAAGCACCATCACAAGGAATGGACCACTGTTGGTACACTGAATAAAATTGAAGAAAGAAGGAACAAGAAGGCAGCAATCAATATCAGCCGAACCAAAGCGGAAAAAGCCAAGGTACAAGCCGAATACACAGAGGCAAACAAGCAATTTGAAGAGGAGCATCAGAACCGACAAACGTAAATATGTGGAAGATTTAGCGATGACAGCGGAAAAGGCTGCAAGAGAGGGAAACATGAGACAACTGTATGATACAACCAAGAAACTTGCTGGGAATTACCGTAAACCAGAAAGTCCAGTGAAAAGCAAGGAAGGCAAAGTAATCACCGACATTGAAGAACAACGAAACAGGTGGGTAGAACACTTCAAAGAACTCTTAAATCGACCAGCTCCACTGAACCCACCCAACATCGAAGCAGCACCCACAGACCTCCCAGTCGATGTTGGCCCACCAACAATTGAAGAGATCAGCATGGCCATTAGACAAATCAAGAGCGGCAAAGCAGCGGGACCTGATAACATCCCGGCGGAGGCACTGAAAGCAAATGTAGCAACAACTAAAAAGATACTACACATCCTTTTCAGTAAGATTTGGGACGAAGAACAAGTACCAACAGACTGGAAAAAAGGACTTCTGATCAAAATACCAAAGAAAGTCGATCTCAGCAAGTGCGACAACTACAGGGGCATCACTCTTCTCTCAATGCCAGGGAAAGTCTTCAACAGGGTATTGTTAAACAGGATGAAGGATTCCATGGACGCCCAACTTCGAGATCAACAAGCTGGATTTCGTAAGGATAGATCGTGCACAGATCAAATCGCAACTCTACGTATCATTGTGGAACAATCAATCGAATGGAATTCATCACTCTACATCAACTTCATCGACTACGAGAAGGCATTTGATAGCGTGGACAGGACGACACTATGGCGTGCCTGAGAAGATAGTCAATATCATACGGAACTCCTATGATGGACTAAACTGCCAAATCGTCCACGGAGGACAACTCACCGACTCGTTTGAAGTAAAGACTGGTGTAAGGCAAGGTTGCTTACTCTCACCCTTTCTCTTTCTCCTGGTAATCGACTGGATCATGAAGACGTCAACGAATGGAGGAAAGCACGGGATACAGTGGACAGGCAGGATGCAACTTGACGATCTAGACTTCGCGGATGATCTGGCTCTTCTATCACAAACGCAACAACAAATGCAGGAGAAAACGACCAGTGCAGCAGCAGCCTCAGCAGCAGTAGGTCTCAATATAAACAAAGGGAAAAGCAAAACTCTCCGATACAACACAATATGCACCAATCAAATTACACTTGACGGAGAAGCTTTGGAGGATGTGGAAACCTTTACATATCTGGGCAGCATCATTGATGAACACGGTGGATCAGATGCAGATGTGAGGGCGAGGATCGGCAAAGCAAGAGCAGCATACTTACAACTGAAAAACATCTGGAGCTCAAAACAATTGTCAACCAACACCAAGGTTAGAATTTTCAATACAAATGTCAAGACAGTTCTATTGTATGGGGCGGAGACGTGGAGAACTACGAAAGCCATTATCCAGAAGATACAAGTGTTTATTAACAGTTGTCTACGCAAGATACTTCGGATCCGATGGCCAGACACTATCAGCAACAAGTTACTGTGGGAGACAACAAATCAGATTCCAGCGGAGGAAGAAATCAGGAGGAAGCGCTGGAAGTGAATTGGGCACACTTTGAGGAAATCACCCGATCGCGTCACAAGACAAGCCCTCGCATGGAATCCTGAAGGTCAAAGGAGAAGAGGAAGACCAAAGAACATATTACGCCGAAAAATAGAGACAGACATGAGAATAATGAACAAGAACTGGGTAGAACTAGAAAAGGAAGCTCAGGACAGAGTGGGTTGGAGAATACTGGTCGGCGGCCTATGCTCCATTGGGAGTAACAGGCGAAAGTAAGTAATATGTAAACATAGTTCCTTATTTACAATATGTAAACTAATAGGCAGGATGATATTTGGACGGAAAAGTTTCTGTCAGTGCTTAATAATATAATAAGATAAACTGCAACACATTTTGTATGTCACAAATTAATTGTGTATCCTGCTAGATATTATTCGTTGTCAAAATATTAGAGAATCCCTTGTTATAATTTATAAACAAAGACGACATTGTCTATTTACTTTTTGTTTCAATAATTCCTGGGCTATAATGTGATCAAATATTTTATATTTTACTGAAATAAGACAACATCCTAAATAGAGGCTTTAATATTTATCAGTGTAGATGAAATGAGTGAAAAGGTTTAATTGATTGTATTACTAAAATAGATGGCAACATTAATAATCTTGGTGAGACTATTATTCATAGACGACCTTTGAGAGACATTACGGTAACCTGGAGAAAGTTCACTTACTAGGGACAAGACAGGATTATAAATTACTGTGCGGAATTAGGATTAGGAATTACAGTTAGGGATTTCAGTGTGAACTGACACTAGCCATAATGCTATTTAACCATATGAATGAACAAATTTCGCGCCAAAAACTAAGAATTGCTAATCTTTACTTTCATTGGTTTGTTCATGCATAACAGTCTCCCCATCATCTTATATGACGCATATTACACCTTGTTGTTTTGTTAATGTACACATTGATGATAATAAACTAATGGTGTATCTTAAGAAGTTTGACATACCACTAACAACTATCCTATAAAAACATTTAGAAGTCACAAATATTTGATTACGTTACATTAATCAAGTCTACGAATTCAAACAAATTGTTTTAAACCGTCAATGTAATTTTATATCAAATCATTGAATTTTGTGTCCTCATTAGAAAGTTGGTTAGTGGAAACTAGACAATATAAATGATCGGTTACCAAAATCTGATTACTTCACATATCTCAAGATGTGCATTGAAGCTTAAATATATAAATGTCTATGTCTTCAATTTCAAGGCATAGTGATACATGTTCAAGTTCAAGAGCAACATCGATTGTGTATCGTACAACAGACACTATATTCTAAACATGACCTTTTCGCTGATTTTTATCTATATATAAACCATAGTCAAGCGTAAATACTTCATTAAGTCTTTATTGTTTTCTTGAACTGTAAAAGGAGGAATTACTGATATACATACCAGCTTACTACTTTATAGAACCTTTATTGATAATAAAATACAAATCAATAATATGTAATAATTTCGAATGATAAACCAGTCCAGTTATTCATAAACAACATAAGACCATCCTATCATCACATTATAGTAAAACGAGACAAAATATACGAAAGTTGCAGCAGAGATTCATAGATACAAATAGTAGTATATGAGTTAACAAACTAAACACAGAATATGGGGTTCAAACAAAGGAAAACACGCTATTCGATTTGGCTAATGCAGTTGACAATTCATCACATTTTCGAGTAAAATTATTTCAATAAGTTGGTATACTCGATTGATAAACTCTTTAAAAATAGACACTATCGTTAAACTGTTGACTAACTAAAGGTTAGGGGTTACAACTAGTCAAGGGTGGGGGATTAGTATGCCTAAGTCAAAACAACATCCAAAAAAGCCCACATAGTTGACCTATACGTATAGGTTCGGATTTGAAACCAGTCTGGTTTCTACAGGTTAGCTGTTTCTTAGTCACATCTATGCTGCGCATAATTATACAAGCTAATAATTTAGAAATTATATTGGTTAGACTGATTCCTCAGTGCTTATCATAAGAGGATTTTTATCCCATTTTTTATAAACTGAGACGACTATAGATTGAAACTAGTCAGATGGAATAACGTAGTTTCAAATGACAATCGTACACAATAAAACTGATAATATTTTACTACGTGATATTGATACACAAAGTAAACTATCAGATAACTAATTAATGTATTTATAATTATGATGAATAGAATATGTTTGATAAGTTCCGGAGTGGTCGTCGAGGGGATAACCGAGGGCAACATTCCTAGTCTCTTACTCTAGAGACTGCAATTATCTATAGATATATACTTTATTTCGCATAGTAACTGAGATTTATGAGGCATTGGTTAACAGAAACACACGGATCCTACTATTTTCACTGTGAATATCTTAATGCATATAGTATCAAATATGGAATTATTGTGTTATAGCTGTTAGTTCAGGAGCTATATATAATATTTATTAAACGATGATTAGTGATACAGTAGTCAATTAATATCCAATGAGACTAAATGATGTAAAACTAGTCATAATTATTTACACATACTCTAAAAACAACTTACTCTCCCATATAACCTTTACTACATGACATAAATGATGCTAACTGTAATTCCGTGGAAATTCTTCCGCGAATATCATGTAAAGCGCGTTTAAATGAGGTAAATCCTGTATCTGGTGCATAAATGTTGTGTTGATATACTTCATCGGCTAATACAACTAAATTATGTTTGTAAGCGAATTTTAAAACGCTTGTAATTGTGTCCTTTGATAGTAATTGACCTGTTGGATTGCCAGGGTTGATTACTACCAAAGCACGTGGGATACATTTATCTTTGCATTTATTTAAAGCTTCTTCCAACTGTTCAATACTTAGGTCCCATCCATTTGATTCATCCAAGTAGTAATCAATCTTAATGGGAAAAATAAACAAGTTTTAAATCGATTTGATTAGAGTATGTGGATTTTTGTGTAAATATACATGGCAGTGCGTTGAAGCTATAATTTGATGTTTTACTATTCTCATAGTAATTCGACTTTGGCTTTTACGACAAACGTCAAAAAGCAAACATGAAGCTTGTTATTTATTACGACTAAGACTCGTATGGACAAGTCTCTATCATATTGGAGACATGGTTAAAAATATAATCAGTCTATATTTACATCGTCAGTAAATCCAGTTAGGAATTTCTAGAGAAAATATACTTACATACTGCTGTCTTTCTGATGATAAACTTGATAGACTAATATATTAGTAAAGTACAACTGCCTCTAGGTTAGTGAGATATATTCACCTGAAAAGACCATGAGTTCATATTTGGATCTATTAAATCTGATCAAAGTACTAATTAATCTAGTAAAGACTAATAAGAACTGTGTATACATGGATCAGTGAGTTACAGCACATAATTCACTTTTAGTGAGCGTTAACACTTTTTACCTGGTCAAAAAATACATACAGATCGGTTGTCGCTTTTTTGGAGAACTAATGTCAAGAAGATTTATTGTAAATTATGTGAAATATATTATCTAATCAAAAGGTAAGAATTTGTACTGCACGAAACGAGTGTCCTGGATTCCATTGGTGGCCACCATCCATCTTTGCCTAAAAAGTATGAATCATTTTCGAAGGAGCTTTATTCCTTGAGTTAGATTTTGAAAATCACTTTGATGGAACTGAAGAAGAAAACGTCAAGGTTATGGTAAAAGCAACTCAGCAAAATCTCCTTTTATTAACAAGTCAGTTATACGTAACGTAGAATGTGTTACATGTGCGCATCGATTCAGGTTATCATACCATAATAGCACAGCAAGATGTAATTGTTGAAGTAAATTTTAAAGTAGCAGAGATAGTAACAATAGTAGTAGTAATAGAAAAGATTAGACATAGAAGATGAAATTTGAGAGGAAAATATGGATAAGTGGGATAAAAAAAAGTTTTTAGGGCACTTTAAAATCTTGGAATTTAGGTTAAGAAAGAGTGAATGGGTGTAAGAAATAATACCGAAGCCTCTAATCATCGGTTTAGATAACTACACAGACACCAACTAGGTAGTCTATACCTAACATGGCTCATTCTAGCAGTTGACGTGTTCGTGGACTGATCTCAGATCTTGGTTTGGGCACCCCCAGCTTTTTTCCAAACTACTTCTACATTAATCATCTTCGCACATCGAAGTAGGTGGTGAACGGGTATACGTAAAACCTATCCCAACCGTCTCAATCGATAACCATTCATTAATTCATAAATTAATTTGCTGTCAATATCTAGCATTCCGTATTTAACCTCAGTCATACTATAGCAATGCTTCGAAGGTATCCATGATCGCATACTAGTAACATACGAATATACTCTCTTTTTAAAAGCCACATTTCACAGCCATTGCAGATCAAACATATCTGATGACACACACCCAGCACTGTAAACTGTCAGCAGCTTAGTATTATTTTAAAGAATGCCTATTTTTTTAGATGGTAAGTTATATCTGTCAGCGAATTTAGTGTACTGATATTAGTTCAAAAAATTGTTATTAGCTTTATAAATGAGGTGATGGGTAGTCCACTGAACAAGTTTTCCTCTACAGAGTAATTTGTGCTATTTCTTAGCATCCATAGATATCTGTATAATATTTAACATATAAAGTACTGTGTCAACTTCGTTAAGTGGCCCAGTGTCGTGATTTGATAAGAAATGTCTATTCCCTTATTATTCGGCATCAAACAAAACGAATGACACTTTTTAGGTTTACAAGATATATTTATAAAGCAAGAGGTACTATTTTCTGAATTTAGCTGATTATCCACAAGTTACGATTTCTACTTATGTATCGTATATTTTATTGAGATATGAGAAGATCAAAGGACTGCAAAGCATTGTTTGGTCACGGAAATACAACCACGTTTAAAGAAATTCTAAAATAAATATGTGATAGATTGACTGTGTGTCTAAAATAAATGAGTAATTGAGTGAGATTATTCAATTCATGTAGCAGTATAAACTAAAATATAAAGCAGTGAGATTTCCATTATATTAACTAGCGATCTGTAATGTTTATTCATATTTTTACCCTTTCTTGTTAGTTTGATGTACTGCATACATTACGGACAATATTGGTAATGATAAGCGAGCATAAGTTCAGATCGTCGAAAAAAACTTCTTATCAGATTTTTGTTATTCGTATAGGATTTTTAGGATATAAACATTGGCATTTTAACACTGTTAATAAGTAAAAAGTCATGTTGCGCCTAATTTCTCCAGATAAAAATGTTCCTTTTTAGTTATCTGAAAAATTCACTTGAATATGCTTTTGTTGTAGATCTCCTGTACAACAGATATGATAGTTCTAAAGCACTTGTTAAACATCTGTATAATGAAGTTATAATTTATTAAACAAGTGATTGTGAAATAACCCATTGGAATTTCGCGGTTATAGGACAATTGGAACGCTGGTAAAACCAATGAACAACTTGCCAGGAAATATGGTTAAAAAGAATCATGCGTTGCGAAACGGACGAAAAACTAACTGGAAAGAAGTTTTTTTGATCGACTCGTTCCTTCTTAAACATGAATTACAGCCCAAAAATTACTGTTTATCGATATAAATGTTGTTAATGGTGAACATATGTATTGATCGATCAGTTTACCTGATAGGCGTTATATTCAGCATTTGTTGCTGAATAAAGAGGATATTGAGGTATAGGGACCATAACACCAGAACGTCTGGATCCATCTTCTCCAGTGGATATCAACTGAAGAATTGACTAAAGGAAATATAAAAATGAGTAAACATATATGTAAAAATATATATATAAACTGGGTTTTTAAGTCAGATGAGAAATAAAGCGATGGACAAATGAGAAATCTTTTAAAAAATTGAACTGTCGAAAAGTCATATTGCTTTATAAACTTTCTATTGTTTGTAATCATCACGGTACAGAAAACGTTTACAGCACTGTATGACCTTCAGTAGAATTATATTATCTTCACATTTTATATAGGTCGTATGATATTCACGCGAGAGAAGCTAGGTGAGAAAATTGTTGGACTTTTAATCTTAAAAATAGCGAATTGAATCTGTTGTAACATTGAACAACGAATTAAAATGTATTGAAGAATTTATAAATTATTGAACCTATCAGTTTCTAGATGTTGGTAATGAGATTCTAATTTAATTTTCGGTATAGGACAGATTCAATAGACAGTAATTAATGAATAATGAATCGTTCCACTCTCATAAATTATATGAATGACAATAAGTATTTATCTTCCTAAATTAAAATATTTCAAACTAGCTTCAGCTCTGGATTTATCAGATAAATAACTAGTGATTAAAACATCAGTTGATGAACGGTACATGAAGCCTCTGGTGTCAATCATTAAATACAACACCACAAGGATTTTCAAAAGAGTAACAAAATAACTGACTTCGTTTCTACAAACCAGCAGAACCTGATATTTCTGAAAGTGAGGATTTATGATGGAAACGGAAACACACAAAGTGAAGTCATGGTGAGAGACCGGGCCAATCAGACATATAAATTTTAAGATAAAATGTTGAATGGGAGATGGTGATGGGTGTAGGCTAATGATTAAGATCCAGGCTAATTATGAGAGAGAGACAGATACATACACATCATTGGTTGGAAACCTGACCCGATTTTCTGAGGGACACTGCATCTGATGGTACCATGGTTTCACAAAACTTGTTCGGTCATGTATCTACTAAACGACAACCATGTAAAGTATGTTTTGGTCTTCCAATTTAAAATTTCTGAATTATCAAATGTATTATTATGACCAGCTTGCTAAATTGAAATACTGTGTCAACGATGAATCTTTCAACTTATTGAGTATTGGTTGGATCACAGAATTAAAGTTGTTTGGTTAACCAACTAATTTTATTGGTAATTAGATATCTCCTCCATCCGATGGTGGTTATGTGGTATCGTAAACACTGATTTAACTTTCAACATCCATTATCAAAGCACAGGCGTGAAAATTAGATGTGGAGCGCTGCAAGATGTAGGCCCTCAGAACCAAAACCTTCTTGAGTATTGAATACTGCTCAAGAGGGTCAGGTGACTTAACTTCTGTAGCTAAATTCAAAAGGCCAAACTTATTCCTCAGGAAGAAATGGTGAGTGATAATCTTTTCAAATTTACTCCTAAGCTAATTTGAATTAGTGAAAAAATACAAAGCTGACAACTTTTGGTTTAGTCCCCTAGGTGGACTTTCTGTGTCCACCAACCCTCTTAAAGCGCCGGACATTCGCTTTTCGTCCTCTCACTTTCGTAAACAACACCGCCGCCGCGAGAAGGTAGTGAGTAGGACTTCCCTGGCAGTGGCTGTATACGCGTGGTCATGTGAGTGTTTCGAGAGGAAGAGCTGACTCTCTCCACCCTCGGCTGTACTATGACATTCGGGGTACAAATTATATACAATAACTTGACAAACAACACAAAGAGTTTTGCTTCCCTTCTTGAGCTGAAACAAATAGTGAGAAGGAAGTACGTTCGACTCCGAACTTCTAACTAACGCTCGTCAGTGTAATTAGTATTGACGCTTAAAAGCTGGAATTATAATGTTTTTTTTGTTATTGATTAGCTTTAGGTCAGCCGCAGACTTCCCAACTTAGATGAGACTAAAAGGCTAGATATAATTATTCAAATAAGGTAACTAGGTGTGTAGCTGAATGCCAGTTAACTTGTCTGTACAAAATGTTCTTTGCGCTGTGTGAGTGGCCTGTTTTAAAATGGACCACTGGAAAATTTTCGTTATCGACAATTTTACTAATTACTGATGTCTGAAAGTTAGTCTTTTTGTCAGGCTAACACAATTGTTTGTAGTAAATTTTCATTTTAGTTAAACACATAAATATTGGTACAAAAAGCACCAGATGAATATGCGCCTCACAAATCTCATTTGATTTGTGTGAATGCTATGATACTGCACAGGTGCCCAGACTGAAGCAGGTAGTTTTCTTAGGGGGCCACACACCGAGTCTTTGACCTGAAATCCTAGTCCACAAGGCAGTGGAGTAACGTAAGGAAATGCAGTTCCATGGTAGCCGATGACCAACGATTGGTTCATACGCCATTTGTTCCCTCAGGATACTGAAGCCCATGTGCACCAATGGTATAAAATCAGGGTTTTCCAACTCCCCTAGGTGAACGTTCCGTGTCCACCAACCCGGTTAAAGCGCCGGACATTAGCTTTTCGTCCTCTCAATTTTGTAAACAACTGTGTCACGAGAAGGCAGTGAGTAGCACTTCCCTGGCAGAGGCTACATATTCGTTTGGCCATGTGAGAGCATTTGGAGAGGAAGGGCGGACTCTCTCCAATCTCGGCCGTACCAGGGCATTCGCAGTAAAGCAACGTGGGTATCTTTTCTATCTCTTGAAGTTTGGTCTTTATGATGAATATTACTGGATGTAAAATTCTAGCTTTCGGATGATAAAACCTGCAGAATAGTGATGAAAATTTATAGTGCATGACTTGTAAGTTTTTGATGAATAGAAGTGGATAATCGATGCTTGATCTACAGACTCTAAAACACTTTCAGTAGAATTTCCTCTAGCGGTAGTTAAAGACAGTTTCGACAAATTGATTAGGGGATTGATCACTGTGTATTAAAAGTGCATACACTAGTTACTGTTTGCAAACGTTCCGCCCTCACGACCAAGAAAATTTTAAGAATTCTGTTCACCACGATTTGAATGTACAAAATTGTCGCTTTGATTAAATACGCTTCAAGAACCCACGCGGATTCGGTCGTACTCCTACTATTATTTTTGAAACAGGTGTGTCAATTTCAGCAATGCAGAATCTACGTCCAATATAGATTAGAATATGTCTAACGAGCTTACAACAAAAACCCAGAGGGGAAGACAAAAGTCCTGATTTTATTTTAATCTTTGGATTTCGTATTTATCACAATCGGTTAATACATTAAACATTTTTACCTTCTTTATCGACATTTAATAAAGCCAAGTCATGTATACCTACATTGCTCTCCTGTTATCACGTACTGATTTGTTCGTGATTCGCAGAGTAGGTTTTGGACAAGCCTGAAAAATTCTAGTTTATCAAATATAACTAATGATTTTCACTACTTTATTGTTCTTTCAAAGCTACCAATTGTGTGTTGGGTTTTCCTTGTTCGAGTAAAAGTTTTAATTTCAGAGAGCGAACTATATTGTAATAAGTTTGCGGCTGTCTCAACTGCACGACTGAATGAGTTCGTCAAGTGGAAATTTCAATTCTTGTGAACATGAATATCGAATCGGTAGTTGACAAACAATAAGAATAATCATACTTACCTTAACGGCTTCACTTGCCCCATTTGATAAGAAAATATTTTGGGGATTAGCTGATAACTGATCTCGTTGTTCTATGTATTGTGCAACGTCTTCGCGAACAACTTCTACGCCTGTAGACTGGCTGTAGACTCCTATGGTATGGAAAATCAATTGGACGCCCATGGGTAATACAGTTATTGAGCATCTGTTAGTTTATACTTTGTTAACAACATATCATAAAGCTTAGCGGTATTTTGATTTCAACTACTAAACATCCACAAGAGTATTATTACGATTTAAAACTGGAACGATAATATTTTCAACTTCAAAGGTCAACGATTAGTAAATTAAAGGTCCAGATGAATCTTTATGGATAGAATCACGACAACAGTTGTAATTTAGGTGAAGGAAAACAATACCGAAGTCCATCTGCATAAGTTGGGTGCACCAATAAGACGGTGAATTCCAGTTAATTGAGACTAATGCAGTCCGACACTAACTGAAGTAGGAACATAATCTGACGGCTAAACAATTATAATTTGAGTTATTGATCAGAGAATGTATCGTAAATTAGCCACATCTATGATGGAGTAATAACTTATTTGGCTTCGATTTATTTAAAGCCCTTTCGTATTTTTCGCTATCTCACTTCATTCGTGAATTTAAATCTGCAACAATATAGAAATTCATGTTGACCTTAGATGATTTACACCTAGCTTGTTAGATTTTGAATATGATAGGTAGAAATAAACGAATGTGGTGTGTCCGTGAATTCAGTAAATCTACAGGAACTGCAAAGCAAAATAGGTCAATCTGTCTGAGAATGAAATTTATCGCGAAACAACGTTAGCAGGATAACTGCTTGAAACCAAACGTCACAAAGAAAGTGGTCCATAATATTAAGTACTTTTAGCAAACTGAAAATACGGGCATGGAGATTTGCATCCTCAAGTTTGAAGATATTGGTTAATTTGCTAAGTAGTTGATGTGAAATACAGTAGTTAATATTTCTTTGTGTGACCAACCGTTTGATAAACCTTAAACTGAAATCCTTACTAAAAGCTATCCACTGGACTTCCATTAGGTTTCGAATGTATTGTAGCCCCATGTCATTTAGTTGTTTTCAAAATTTCTTGTGATTAACTTCGTCCCCTGTCTCAAAAGGTAGAAACTCGAACTAGTTGAATATTGTATGAGGGGTTGTTACTATACTTGTTTGTGAATACTTATAGAATTCTTCGTACAAGTACAAATTATATTGAAATTACCGAAAGAAACTGTTCCAATGGTAAACAATTCACCAAAGAAGCAGTTTAAGAATAGTAAGTATTCCTGTACATCAAATTGATAGACAACTTGGCAACCAACCTCGTTTTCTTTTTTGAGTAACCGATCGTAGTATTTTTCCGATTTTTCTCCTTACTTGCCAGTTACCTGTTGGTTTGAAGCAATTTATTTGTGCATATTGTTTAGGAAGACTTGACATTATCGTTCGATAATGAGGTGTCACTCACATTAATTAGGATGGGGCTAATTATCAGTCTTAGTACTTTGAATTATTAAAGACATTACCAAACCCAATCTAGTTGAATGAAAATGTGATCGCTAAACAAGCCATTTGATTCAAATTAGAACCAGTAACTGTCGGAATGATTTTATGAACATGCACGTAGTTGACGGACTAAATACCGGATAAAATAAACTTTCAAAGGACTCCCAGGTGTTATTAATGAAGTAAGATAAATTAGAATTGTTAGACCAGTAACCAACACTATGCGATTAAACATGTTAAACGAATGAAATAACGATAACATACCATCACATAAAAATTACACTTCGAATAATTGCCATCGATCAGTCAAAAAATAGCCATCTCGCTCAACTGACTTACCAACACTCCCACCACAACTGTCCAAAAATCTCCTGGCTCTTAGCTTAGCATCGTCTTGAACTAAGTTGGTATCCATAATTTGTGTATTTGTCGTGGCACACAAAACTTCACGAATGAATGAAATGGGCCTTTGACCAGACGCATGACAGTCCCCGATATTGCAACGGATAATTTTGTCGAATCTTTTTTTTGAACCCTGATTATAATTAATAGCTAAAATAATCTAACTTGTGATATTTCTTTCTCTAGTTCTAACGCCCTAAGTACTATCGGTCCACGGACAGCATACTGAAGCTTCACAACATGAGGATTGATAGTGTCACAACTCATTTTTTGATATGCACGAACATTTTGAATGATGCATGAGCGACCCACAATTTGTACCAAGCGAAATCCACACATAATTTCCTCGGGACTTTGAAAATTTGCTATTAGCGACCTTGAAATGCGAAAAACTAAACAATGAACACTTCATTATGAAGCATTTTGGAGAATCATCATATTCATTGACGAGTTGTTGCTGTTTGGTCTTCCTATATTGCGAACTAGTCAATGTGCTGATCTGTTGTTTGGCGTACAATAGATCTCATGTAACATTAGTGAATGGTGACCTGACAAGTCAGAAGACACTGTAATTAAATTTATTCCTGCCAGCAAAAAGATATTTGGACATCGGATGCTAGGGGTTACGCTGATATAGTTTTGAATGTATTTTCGGAATCCGGTAACAAAAAGACACATCAATTCAAAGGCGTAGATTGTAAAAGATACTCTACTACGTAACGGTACTTAGATGAAATAAATTTCGAATGAGTGATGTGTAATATTTGACGAGTTCAACCGTATATTTGATTGAAAACAGGTAACGGAATGTTCTTACTGATGTATGACAGCATTTTAGGCAATTTCTAGGAGAGAAATGGTGTAGACCTCTGCCATCCCCCAATTTTACTTTTCGTTTCACGAGGGTATTCATTGATCTAGTCTTTAATCCCGATTCCACTGTAGAGGCGAAAATATGGGATTTGTCAAAGCCCGTTTTCGTTCGGCAATTGGTCCACGGGTGTGCCTCACTTTATGGCTTTGATTCAATCTTCCATCTTAATGATCCTTCCGACAGACAATAGTCACCCACCATATTTCGAAGGGTAGAAGTAAGAATATTCCCTTAGCACTAACCAAAGCTCAATTGTCCCTTTCTAGAATTTCTAATGAGCTTGATGGTATGTAATTAATTTTAAATGTTGTTTTGCAAAATCTAATATGAGTGCTGATTTCAGCTTATTCTCGACTAAGAAACAGATACGAGAACGTATCATTAGATCTTGAATTACATCATACATCTTTAGCCGGATCGGCTCCTATCATTTGCAAGATAAAAACTCTGCTTACGAATTAGTGCACGGATAACATAGTAGTCATTGTTTTAGTGATGGCGACATTGAAGATGGATGGTTTATCAACACTGACTTCAGGTTGCGCACTCCTGTAGTATCGGTTTATATGTTAAGCCCATATACTGTGTTCTAGCTTCTGGCCAAGCTATTTCGCTTGTCCACTTATGAGGCATATTTTGGTCTTGTCAATTATTCACTTGTTAACCTTGACTACTTTTTTATATGAGCGTATGTGTATGCACACTTCGTATCTTATTCATCATATGTCTGTCATTCATTTTTGTCTGCTATAAATACTGATCAACGCTTACTTTAAATGAGTTGGCTTCCTATGATGATCAGAAGTATTTGAATTGTAGTATAAACTAGTAATCCCAGGAATAACGCAATGTAATCAAGAAGTATTAGATGAGCCCGAACGAATGTAATGTATTTGGAATTCAAAATTACAACAGTCATCAATACTAAGAAGTCATTGATTTATTTAAACATCACATCCGCCACAGCTCGAATTGAAGTGTAAGTGTATCTGTCCGATGGTGTATTGAATGTACACTCTGTATTATCTAGAATGCACTCATTAGTATTAGAATTAACAACGGAAATTGGAACAGACTCACCTGGGTTCTAGAATTGTATACAATCAGCATGTCGGCTTTGTAGTGAAACCATTGATATTTAGAATTTGCATCATGGACTCTCCAACAATATCCTCCCCCACGAAATAATGTTGGGTCCTTACTTCGCAATGTTTTAGCCAATATGACGTTCCCAATTTTCATTATCTTCTCAAGTCTTACGCACCGACTACTGTATGTGAGTATTTGAGGATAAACACTGATATATAATTTGAGGTGACTTTGACTTGAATAAAAATCATGATACATATACTTCTTGTTATTCATATTAGAATATACAGATGGATATGCATTGATATATGTAATTAATACATGTGATTCAACTAGGCTTGATTTACCTGCGAAACAATCGAATAGAAAACATTCATCTGCCTCATATTCATTAGGATAATCTTGGATTTGATTTGGATTCTCTGTCTGTGCAAGCTTCACTTCTGGGCAAGCTGGTTCTCTGATTATTTCGGTAAATTTTGCTATCCGCTCTGATTCACCATACCCCTGACTAGGGATTCCATTCAACATACATTGTTCGTGAGAATATCCAACATATGACACAATAACATCAGAAATATGACTAGAATTCAACTCATAAGAAACATATTTGTCACATTCATGAGGAATATCATTAGAGATAAATTCATTGTGAGGACCACTGACACTTGATATGATATCAGAATTTGATTTCTCTGAAATATTTTCCTCAAATGGATTTAGAGTTTCATTAAAGAATAATGAATCAACAGGGAATTCAGCATCTACCAAGACTGAATCTGGTTTTTGATCATGATTTGACTCATTTAACATTCTATTCTCAGAGTTGTAAGAAATTCCATCAGAAGTATGTGAATTATTACGACAAACCATATCTGGTTCAATATCATGAGAAATCCGATAAGTTTGTTGGTTAAAATTTTTTGTCTCACAATGATTCTGAGTTTCAGTTAACTCTGGACTGCTATGTGACGTTATACCACTTCTAAATAAAGATAACTGATCATTAGAAGCATCCATCTTAGCATTACTTTCAGCGAAATGAACCATGGTATTACAAACTGACTGAATATGTCCAGTTATACCACATTTAAAGCATTTAGAATTACGAAATATACATGAATTACATGGGTGAAACTTGCCGCAGAACATGCATTTACTAAACTCGTGCTCATCATCATGGACTGTTTCACAACTCAATGAAGTATTGTCTGAATAACTTTCATTACGCATCGAACTACGACGACTGTTTGAATAAGTGGAATTCCTGATGTTCTGACGAGTCATTTTATCGGATTTTCCTTTCTTACCGCATTCGGAATTTGTATATTTTACATGATCCAACAGCAGTTGCTTGAGAGTTGCATAGGGGAGTGAAATCGGTTTGTCTGGAAGTGCCAAAATCTTTATAAGACTGTATGCTTCTTTCCCGATGAATGTAAGGAAATGGGCCACAATATTAAAATCCTCATCATCTTCCTTGGTCATAGCCCAGATTTCGAACCTTTCCATGTACTCCTCAAAAGCATTAAAACCTGAGTTTATATCCAACCGTTCCATTACAGGCTCAATCGCGACGCCAATATGATAATTAGAAGTATTTGAATTGTAGTATAAACTAGTAATCCCAGGAATAACGCAATGTAATCAAGAAGTATTAGATGAGCCCGAACGAATGTATTGTATTTGGAATTCAAAATTACAACAGTCATCAATACTAAGAAGTCATTGATTTATTTAAACATCACACTTCCCCGACATCTCCAATACGCATTATTTTCGCTTCGCTCTTCAGTTGGCTTCCCCGCCATCTCTAATACGCATTATTTTCGCTTCGCTCTTCAGTTGGCTTACTAGCCATCTACATTGCGTCTTATTTTTGCTTCGCTCGCCAACATATGCTCATGTGCTCATAGCTTTATGGCTTACGTCATTTGATAATAAAAATGTAGTCGCCCCTTCCTTTTGCCTTCTGATTCCATACACCGTTAGGATTGGTATAATAACGGTTATCGAGTCGAACTATTAACGAAGCACGGCATTATCTACTGGTGGGATGCATATACAGACCACCACATGCAGATTCTATGTTTGACAGATTACTAACAAACATCTTTTCCATTGCTTCACACCAACCGCATACTTTTAAAATCATCGGAGGTGATTTTAATCTGCCAAACATCACATGGGATTCGACTCCGGTTTCAGGCCGACATGACAAATTAGTTGAAACGCTAGAACTTTATGGATGGGTCCAACAGGTTCGACAACCGACTAGAAGGAATAATATACTTGATTTACTATTTACAATCAACATAGATTCTATCTCAGTGCATATTGGTCAGGAATTTTTTAAGAGTGATCACAGAGTAATATTGTGTATCATTTATTCTTTCGACGCCATACAATTGAATTCTAAAGCTGGAATGATGTACAAGAGTAGACATTTTGATCAACAAACCTGGAAACGGACTGAAAGTCTTATTCGTTGTTTGCCATGGGAAACTTATTTTACCACAAATAATATTGACATTGCGATCTCTGATCGATACCACTACTTGATACACTGCCTCGACTGCACTGCTCCAATTATTAGCCATGTGACTTATAACGCCAATAGGGGTCATAATAATTTTAAAACTTTTGAAAGAAAACTGAGGAAATTGAAACACCGTTACCACAAGCATAATAACTTGTATTCACTACAGAGTATACTTAAGTTAATTGACAAGAGTGCTTCATCTAAACGCAAGTATTTTATAAATATAGAAAATAAAGCCCTAGGTAACAAGAACCCAGAATTATCAATACTTCGGCTTTTTAAATCGCGCGTGAAGTCAAATTCTCTTGGCGTGACCAAATTCTTCATAGTTAACGGAAGAATTATTGATGACCCCGATATTATTTGCGAAGAATTCAGTCAGTATTTCTCGCAGTGCTATAACACTAGAACTGAAAGCTGTATCAATAAATTTCCAATGCTGACGTGCAGACACCTGTCGAAAATTGATTTTGTACCCTCTAACATCAAGCAGGCCATAACTGCCTTGAAAAAGTCCTATGACGGTGGACCTGACGGGATTCCCTCATCATTTGTGAAATATGGTAGTGGAGAACTCCCATTATTTTGTCTAAAACTTTTCAACCTATCTATGGAATATGGGACCCATCCATCTGCATGGAAAACATCTCTTATCACTCCCAGATTCAAAACCGGATCGCGCAGTGATATTGCTAACTACAGACCAATTAATTTGACATCCGTGCTGTCAAGAACTATGGAAAAAATAGTCCACAAACAGCTATTATCATTTTTGCTTTCGGCTAATCTGATCAGCCCATCCCAACACGGGTTTATGACCAAACGCTCCTGCTTCACATTGCATCTGGAATTTTTTGATCAAATTACCCAGAGAAGAGATGTTGGTCAGTCTGTGATAATTTTGTACTTCGACTTTAGTAAGGCTGATGATGCAACGGATATTCTAGTTTTACAACTAGATACCAGTAGCACCTTCTAAATTCGGTT